ATTTTTTGGATAAGCAATCTTCAAGGAGCTAACTTCTGTTTCTAGGGTAGGGTAGATTTATCTATACAAAAGAGTGCTTTACCCAGCATCTCAGTTCTGTCTGCGCATCTCCTGGTGCTGCAGTCCTGGCTCTCCATACCAACAAAGTAATTGTTTTGGTTAAGATAAAGTCTAAGATCCTCTGTGAAAACAGTGTTTGCAGGAATCTAATCTTGCCATGTGCAATGGTTTGTTTAACCATCAACTTGACTCCAGACAGACTCACTTGGGAAGTAAGTCTAAGTGAGGGATTGCTTAAATCAAGTTGTCTTGTGGGTACATCTGTAGAGGACTATCTTAATTACCTTAATTAATGTGGGGAAACTCAGTCCACTGTGGGAGACACAATTCCCTAGGCAGGAGGTCACAAACTATATATGTTGTAATTTTAAAAAGTGGTGAACGAGAAAAAGAGGCCATGTGACAGAGCTTGGATGGAGGGAAAGTGAATTCACTTTATTGGGGAAAGTGAATGGGAAAGAGGGAGGGGAGAGGGGAGAGATGAGCCTCTGGGAACAGGATCGGCAGAAGAGAAAGAGAAAGAGAGAGAGAGAGAGAGAGAGAGAGAGAGAGAGAGAGAGAGAGAGAGAGAAGGTGGGTAGGGCCATTTTGAAAGGGAACATAGTGAACAGGATCAGCCACAGCTGAGGGCGTGTCCTGTCAGAACCCCAAGGACAGACAGTACAGAGGCCTGAATACTAACTGCACAAGAGAGGAGCGAGCAAACAGGCTACTGAGTGCCTATGTGGCCACTTCTCCCTGCTCTTAATTATAAATGTGATGTGCTGCTTCAGGTTCCTACCACCAACCCGGAGTTGTGAGCTGACACTAGCCTCTTTTGAAAATTTAATTTTTTTTTTCAATCCAGGTCTCATTATGTAACTCTGGCTGGTCTGGCATTCTTGTCTGCCTGATTGTGCTTACTGAGTGCTAGGATTTAAGGCATGTGACACCATGCTTGGCCCACTAATATACTTTATTGTCAGGGTATGTTTTCAACACATCAACAAGGAAGCTATGTACACTATGTCCTTGCAGAAGGGAGAATTTGGACACAGATGTTGGCACACACAGAAGAGCGCTATATGGAAAGGAGAGATACATCTATGAGCCAAGGGTCACCAAGGACCTTCTTGCAAACCACCACATCCGTCAAAACCCTCAGAAACACAGCCATGTTGTAGAAACACAGATCTGAGGAGCTGGGAGTGGCAAGGCACATGCACAGTCCCAGCAATTAGAAAGCCAGGTCAGGACCACTGATTTCAACTCCAGCTGAAGCCACACAGTGAGACTCCCCAAAGAAAGCCCAAACTCAAACCAAGTGACCTCTGGAAGAGTAGCCAGTGCTCTTAACACCTAAGCCATCTCTCCAGCTTAGATAATATTATCTAGCTGGTTTACTCAACTCGAAACTTGCTCCCCCTCTGCCATCCCCCACTGGCAAAATTTGAACTAAACTCCACATTCTAAATTTTGGACAGCACATTAAATAGCAGGAGGTCACCCATTAAGCAAGTGGCAGAATCATTTCTCCCACCCCACCTTCTGATTCGGAGCAAACTGATTTCCTGCTACACGCATTCACAGAAAAGCCCTGTGACATGACAACTTAAAGATGACCATCCATGGATTTTTAGATTATTCATTGGGATTGACTACCCTATAAAGGATTTCTCAAAAAGAAGTCTAAATCACAAAGAAATTGTACAAGTTATTTCTTTCATTGCTGTGATAAAACACGCAGTAAAAAGGACTCAAGGAAGGCAGGGTTTATTTGAGCTCATTGTTCCAGGGGTACAGTTGGGTCATGGCGAGGACTTCACAACAGCCGTGGTGCCAGCCACTTTGTGTCTGCAGTCAGGGAGCAGAGAGAAATGGATGCTGGCCCTCAGCTCTTTTTCTCCCTTTTATCTTGGCAGCCCATAAGCCCATAGAATGGCGCTGTTAATCTTTAGGGTGAGTCTTTCCACCCCAATTCACCTCACCTTGAAAACCCCTCACAGTCATGCTCAGGGACTATTTTTACGATGACCCTAAGCCTAGCCAAACTGACACCAAGATCATCAAAGAAACACCATTTAGCCAGGCAAATACAATGTGTCAATTCTTTCCTGAAGTTTTCGACACTTATGTCTCAATGCATCAGTGAATCTCAAAGTTAACCCTTGGATTAACTCAGCCTACAAAAGATGTCTGAAGCCACCCAAGTGTCACTGAAAATATGGTCTTAACAAAGTTACCCCACACTGTGAACTTAGAATTACAAGAACCTTCAAAACTCATAAGGAAGGAATTGCTGTGAGTTTCTGGTCATATCAAATCACTTCTTGGAAGTTGATTTTTTTTAAAAAAAATGTAACTGTGGATTAAATACAGAATGCAAAGTGGACATATGTCTCTTTCTTAAGATCTACGTACCCAAGATTTGCATAAGATCCAAATTGCTGTGGGATATTTAACTAGGCAAAGATGTGTTACATTTGTTTATGTTGCAGTGTTACTTTAACTGTGTGAAGGTGTGTTACATTTATTTTTTGTAAGAATAATTTTACATCCAAACAAGATCTTTTTTTTAAGACTTTTGTTTTTATTTATTATGTATACAACATTCTGCTTCCATGTATATCTGCACACCAAAAGAGGGCACCAGATCTCATTACAAATGGCTGTGAGCCACCATGTGGTTGCTGGGAATTGATCTCAGGACCTCTGGAAGAGCAGTCAGTGCTCTTAACCTCTGAGCCATCTCTCCAGCCCGTGTTACATTTATTTGTGCTGCATTTGTTTAATTATGTAAAGATGTGCTGCTGTTTTACCTTGTCTGCCTAAGGTACCTGATTGGTCTAATAAAAAGCTGAATGGCTAATAGCTTGACAGGAGAGGGAATGGTGGCAGGCAGAGAGAATAAGTAGGAGAAAAAATCTAGAAAAGAACAAGGGGAAAAAGGGAAAATGAGAAGGACACACCCAGGGCCAGAAACCAGGCAGCTGCCAGCCAGCCAGACATGAGAAGCAGGGAACTAAGATATACAGAAAGAAAGGAAAAAAGCCTGGAGGCAAAATGTAGCTAAAGAGAAACAGATTAAGACAAGAGCTAAGACGAAGCTGAGCATTCAAAACTAATAAGCCTCTGTATCATCATTTGGGAGCTGGTTGGTGGCCCCAGAAAAAGCCTGGTACACCTAACATTTGCTTTTCAATTTACTTATTTATTTGAGACAGGGTCTTGCTATGAAGCCAAATCTGGCCTTGACATCATCATTTCCTGTCTCAACTTGCCAAGTCACATCATACATGTGGACCATGATACCTGGCTTCAAACATAGTAATTTGTATGTCTGGGTGTAAGTTGACTTGAATAAAATTAATTCTATAAAGAATTATAACAACAACGACAAAGATAAACAAAGAAGTTTACTTGCTTTCAGACTTGACTAGTAGAAGAACTCCTGAGTCAGTCACAATTATCTGTAGGTATTGTTGCTTACTTGTATATTTTATATAAACTGTTAAAGCTCAGAAACTAATCATTTATGGTATGCCTGGTAAGGCAAATGCTTGTTTGTACATTGCTGGGTTCAAATAGGTTTATTTTAAATTTACATTCATTTATTTCTATCTCATGCTGCAATCTAGCCTGGAGTGGAATTTCCTCAGATGGCCTTTAACTTGAAGCAACCAGCCTCAGTGTCTTGAGTGCTGGCATTATCTGGACTTTCAAACATTTTCATATGTGAAATCCAAACTATAATCTGCATTTATAGATTCACATGCAAAAAATAATGTGACCAACAGAAAGTGTTTTCCTTATTTAGGATGGCACTCAGACTTACGTTGTGTTAAGATTGGAGTGCACTGTGGCACTTTGCATGAGATGTTTCCCATTGGAATGTTTGATTCCCAGTTGGTGGCTGTTTGAGGAGGATTAGGAAGTGTGGCCTTACTCCACCATCTCTCTGTTTCCGGCTTGCAGTTGGAGCTGTGAATTTCCATAGGCATGCCCGCAGCCTGCTGCCATGCTTCCTTCCCTGCCATGGTGCATTCTTACCCTCTGGAGCTGGAAACCAAGTAACCATTCCTTCTGTAAGTTGCCTGGGTTATGGTGTGTTATCACAGCAACATGGGTGTGACTAAGACACATCCCTACCAATCTCAAATCAACTTTGGTGACTTTACCCCTTGCACACTTATGTTCCCCTTCAAACGAAATGCTGGCCAGCAATAGTAACTAACCTCATTGTTTGCTTAGTTTATCTCAGTATCCCTCAGGAAAGAAAGTTCTGGAAGATGGAAAAATGGTGGGCAGTAGCTGAAAGGGACTTTTCCTGGTGTGAGCACTGCTCTGAGGTTCAACATATGGAATCTGGGGTGTCAGCCTCTGAAGTTCTCTAGTGCTCTCAGAGTTGCTTCTGTTCCTGAAACATCACACTCAGCCCCTCCCACCACCACCCCATCATTCCTCATCACAATCATCCTTCCCAGACATGACTACCAGCAACAATTCTACCCAGAAAGCATGTGTAATAACAACAGAGTTATGAGTTATCAACAGTAGGCCTGGTTTTCCTATGCCTATGCAAAAGTATGTAGAACTGTCCTGTAGTGGGGTCTCCGTAAGGGAGAATGCCTCTTTGGCTATGCAGGGCAGCTCTCACTGTGAAGGTATTTCCTGAAGGCTGAGCTGGGTAGCCATTGTACAGTCTGTTTTGGCAAATGTACAAAGACTGTACTCCAGATTATACATTAAAGCACTGATTACACAAATGAAACTCTGGGGACGCTTTAGGAAAGATGCAGTGCAGTGAATTAAGGAAGGAAACAATTATTCACAATTATAAAACTAGCTCCAATGGTAAAAGTCAATGAACCTATTTCCTGCAGTCCAGAGAACCCTGGTAATGGTTTAAGAACAAAAGATAACCATGACTTCTACAAACAAGTAAGAAAAGGACGCAGCCCCATGTTACAAAAAATGACTTTATTTAAGTTAGTTTTGTGCCTATACACTACATAGCCAAATAACATTAAGACATTTCCTTTCATGAACATGTATTATGACAAATCAACTCTCAGTCCTTTTTCTTGCCAGTCCAAGAGTTCACCAGCACTCGACAGTCTGAATGCACTGTGAACATTGTAAACAAATGCAAGACAAACACTGAGCAAGCACATAAGGCATAGAGTGTCAACCCCAAAGAGAAGCATGGTGGGAGAATGAAGATGAAAACAAATACATTAGAAACCATGCAGGTCAGGGGTGAACACCTGTAATCCAGTGCCCAGGAAGGTGAGGCAAGAGGTTCTCAAGTTCAAGCTCAGCCTGGGCTATAGAGCAAGACCCTGGCTCAGAAACCAAGTCAAACCCTAAATACAGAATGACTGCTATTTGGTCAAGAAGTTACTCGGTACATGTTCTTTATCTCTCTGATTAAAAAATAATTCCCGGGGGCAGAGGGAGACTCTCCTTTCTCTCCTTCAGATAAACATAAAGATGTCACCTTTATTAGTGGGTGACCCTGGGGAAGGGTAATGGGGGAGGGTACTTGTTTGGAAGGCTGATACCAAATTATCAGAAGCTTGAAGATCGGGAATTAACAGTCTGAAAACTCATGGCAGCTCTAGGTAAGACTGTGTGAGTTTTCTTACTTTGTCCCTAAAGAGATAAGATGCAAACATCACACAGACTTTTCTAGGAAGTCTCCTCAGGGTCACCATGAGTAGGACTCTGTTCTTGGGATTCTGCCCCAGTGTTAATTCTTTTCAGCACCATCACAGTCAGGAGTCACAGGACAATACTAATGCGGTCTTAGTTTACTCTCTGAAAAGCTGAGACCACGTCAACATTTATGTTATTTGCAAGAGTGCTGCTAACGGATTTTTGTTTGGTTGAGCCATAAATGCTCCTGTTGAAAATGACAATGCTGTTGATTGGGCATCTGGTACAAAATTGATTAGAGATAAACAGAAACTGTAAACAAGAATGCTGGAAGAAACCAGGCTTCTTTTGGGTCAAGAAACCCAAAAGAGCCCCAGTTGTCTCAGACCCTTTGGAAACAGGACCTAGGATCAAAATGAACAAAATCTGTGGGGCAGGAAAATTTCACCAGCTGCCAAAATAAGCAGGCCTGCTTGCTGCTCAAGACACCATGGAGATTGCTGGAGCTCATTACAACATCCAGGGCAAGCTGGGTGGACAATGTGAGGAACCTAAACATGTAGGTATCAGGTTTTATCTCATCTAGAGTTTTGATATTCAAACTTTGGATTTGAAATTTGGATTTGATATCCAGATCCTGTGATAAGAAAACACAATATTGTTCTGGGGTATTTTTTTCTTAGGTGTGTTTTTTATGATTTAAAAAATTACATTAGTCTGTGTGTGCGTTTTGTGTAGGTGCCCATGGCGGGCACCTATGTGGAGGCTAGAGGACAACTTAAGGGAGCTGGTTCTCTCCTTTCACTGTATGGACCCTGGGACTCAAACTCAGGTGCTCCAGTATAGGTGGCAAGTGCCTTTCACCCACAAAGCCATCCTGCCAGTCCCTTAGATGGCTCCGTTAGGACCTCCAATCAGACAACCCACCAGACAGGTGCTTCTTTCTGGACTCTGTGAGTAGACCTCATTATACAACTTGCCACCTGGAGCTGGAGCTTTGACGCCTGGAGTTCACAATACAGATGGCACATTTGTGATTTACACAGGAGTTTGTTGTGAGTCAAGAGATTGGACAAAGAGTTGGCTGGTCCTCCTCAGCAAGAGCACTTGGTAAACACAGAGTAACAAGGCCGACAGCCTCTGTGTGCCGAGTTGGATCAAAGAACGTTAGAAAATTCAGCAGTTCAGGTACCTGAGTGTCCCGTTGGAAGGCTAGATAGTGATCAAATGCATCTTACTCAAAGAATGTGAACAAAAGCTGACTGTATTTAAAAAAGGACAAGGATCAGAAAATTTAAATTCTTCAAAGTTAAGTTTGAGGCTTAGGAAGTTTTATAAAATCTGATAGAAACATTTATGAATATTTTCCTCTTGGTTAAAACATAAGGTCACAGACTTGAGGTTTACTGAATGCTATTTACAACTTGGAATGGGAGTCAGCCTGCAGAACCATTATGAAAATAAATCAAATTATTTTGGAAGCTTGATAAAATTGAGTTATTGGTGACTTATTTTAGTTGTGAACCCATATGGGATTTTCAGTTAATGCCATGTAAAGATTTCAGCATAAATATGGCATTTAACCTGAAGAGATTCCCCTTTGAAGGGTAATTCTGGAAACAACCATAAATTTTAACAATCAAGACAATCAAACCACTGACTTGGTTTACTTTGCCAGGCAGGTTACTCCTGATCAATAGCAGTCTGCCCCTAACGTCCCTTCTTTAAGACAGAGCTGTCTCTGAACACGACACAGCACTCATACTCAGGATCTCCACATGCTAAAATTGAGTATTTCTTCATAAGAAGTATAGCCATAACAGCATTTCAGAATATTATTATTTCAATTCCAGGTTTAAAGAAATCATGACTGAAACCTTAAATGGAAAGAAGCATTTGCTCAACATGGCTGGCCTATCACATGGATCTGTGACTCATTCTTCATCCACTCAAAATGAAGAGTATTTCGCTCCTCCCTCCACCTCTGTTTCCTAGTGTCATGTGACTAAACTCAGGCTCTGGGGCTTTACTGTGAGGTAAGTGTTTCATCACTGAGCTACACCCTTACAGCTATCTAAAGTCAAATGAGGTCTATGTGTCTGCCCAGTGCCTCCCAGAGTTGCCTGCTACATGTCTGCATGTCACAAAAAACAGGGCTGGGTGAGGTCATGGGGACCAAGGAAACATTGTTCAAACAGGATGTCAAACCCCAGATCACCTTCCTACTCTCTGTTGAATTAAGGCTTTTCCTTACAGTCAGTGAACTGTGTAGTTCGAGTCTCCACACAAGGCTGGATTTTAGGAAGACAAAGGTTAAGGAAAGGCTCTGGCAGCAACCAGGCAGGGATTATCGCTAAGTGACAACACTTGCAGGTCAGTCACCCATCTGGGAACTGTCAGGACTGACTTAATTTTAAGCAGACAGCTGAGGTGTTCCCATGCTTGCATCACTAGCATCCGCATCGAGGGCAGGCTTGCGGAAAGTTGATGACTATACATATGTGTATACTGGGCTATTCTGTTCAGCAGGCAGAAAGTGTATTAGTCATCATTACACAGGGCCCAAGGAGGGAGAAGGCCTGCGTGGAATAGATCAGCTTTTTAACAGAGTGCCTTAGTAGCAAGTTTGTTTACCATCTGATGTGCCCACACATCAAGACATCAAAAATGATTAAATTACTCAAAACAGGCTTCTAATTCTATGATTTAAAATTTAATTATCTGTTAGAATATTAAAATGAATCTAATTTCCCTAAGGTTGTTCACCAAGTGACAACACTGAGGTGGATGGGGAGCAGTTGTACTTGACTTTTAATAACAAATTTTAGACTGTTGGTAAAAATACAAATTAGGTAAACAGCAAATGATCAGAAAACACAAGGATGACAACTGCTAGGCGTTGCTTTCTTCACCCACTTAAAAAACCCATCCAAGGCTGCCTGAAACTGTTGTTCAGGGAATTATACAATTAACAGTGTTGGCAGAGGGAGGATTTTCAAGATAATACTCTGTGACAATGCACTTGTGTGAACTTACACTGCAGAGTTTCTACAGAGTGAGAAAATTGGCCAATGAAGAAGACAGCTGATAGTAAAATTACTGGCACAGACTCCTTGGTACACATGATGAAAACACAAACAAGGGCTCGGACAAATAGAAACAAGGTAAAAGTGGTGTTGGCAAAGTTATCTCCACCCATTTCAAATATGCCAAAACGCACAGAATTTACAGTTGCTTTCCTTATAGAATGAACTGAACTGAAGTAAACAAAACAAAGCCCAAAGCCAGATGGAACTACCCATTCCTGTTGGTAGGAAATAACAACAGATGTAATAGCTTCCAGGACAAATAAAATTTTAAAATATTAATATTGAAAAATACAATTAAATTTTTATTAAAAAATACATACTCCTTAACTCAATCTTTGTGTACATTTTGTCTTGTGTGAAAACAAAAACAAACAACCCCCCCAAAAAAACCAAACATAATATTGGAAAGGCATTAAGACTACCTAATTCTTTATATTGTATTTGGTAGAAGCGTGTTTCAATCATGTTTTGATGTAAAAATAAGCTACTCTGCTTTCATTTGCTCCCGGACATCTGAGGGCAGAGTCTCAAACAGAGCATCTTCCACGACCAATCCAGCTCGCTTCAGAGCCCGACAATCTCCCAGCTCAGGGGGGAGGACTTCAAAGTGATTACCTTTGATGTCTAAGTAGGAAAGAAATAGTAAATTTCCAATTTTTGGTGAAAGCACAGAGAGGCTGTTTTTACCAATCTTCAAAGTTTTAAGTTTCTTGCAAAAGTAGAGTTCATCTGGAAGGCTTTCAACCTTGTTACAAGTGATGGAAAAGTAGTGTAAACTTTGCAGAACTCCTATTTCGGGTGGGATGAAGCGAATGTCATTATAGGACAAGTCCAGGTATCGGATTTTGTTGCATAGGAAGAGGTGGGAAGGCAACACCTCTACCTTATTGTGGCTGAAAAACAGTCGTTCCAGGCTAGTCAGTTTCTTGATGTGCTCTGGGATGTAGGTGATGCTGTTATACCACAGTTTGAGCACGGTTAGTTTTCTCAAGTGCTGGAAGCTCATGATCTCTTCTATCGATTTCAGGTTGTTTTCCTTCAGGTCCAGTTCCTGGAGGCTGAGCAGGCTGAACACAGCATGGGGAATGCGCTCCAGATCGCATCGTACCAGTTCCAGCTCTGTCAGATTGGTCATCTTCTTCAGGTTGTTCAGCATCACCAGCTTGGTGCCGTCGTTATGGATGCACATCTTCTGGAGGTGGCTGGACACGTCCACCACAGCCTGAGGGATTTTGGAGATGTTGCTTTTGATGGAGAGGATTTTAAGGCTTTTGAGATCCCGCAGGGACTCCAGGGTGACATTTTTGGAGATGTCATGACTCAGAGAGCCGACCAGATAGAGCTCTTCCAGATTGCGGAGGTTGTACATCCAGGGGGGCAGCTCCCGAATGTCATCAAACTTGACGCTCAAGACCTTGAGGTTTTCCTTCAGGAAAGAGAGTGCTGCACTGTGGATTTTGACAGAACACTGGTGCAGAGAGAGTTCCTGAAGGTTGTCCAGCTGGGCAATGGTGGCGGGAATCATGACATTCTTAATGATCTCTAGTTTCAGAGACTGTAACTCCGTGATTTCAAACACGGTGTCCGGAAGGCCTGACAGCATGATCAGAGGCAGCTCCAGGCGGTTATGGGCGTTCATCTGCAGCTTCTGCCTCAGTTTGTCAGGGGTCCACTCGTTATTTAAATTGAGCTGCTTTAATTTGTTCTCACTGACTTCAGACAGGAACACCGCAAACCTCTTGGAGTACAGAGGGTCATATTGATCTATCATATGGAGCATAAAAGCAAAGTCGTTTTTCACATCTGGGATGTCATCAATTCCAGTTTCCTGCCGGACATACTCGAAAGAATATTCCCTCAGAGAACGGTAGAACAGCCAGTATAAGGTGTAAAGGCACGTCAAGCCATAGATGCTTACGAAGCACAGGTAACAGAAGGAGAGTTTAGAGAACAGATGGGCCATGGTGTGATTGCAAGAGAAGTTTTTATAGCCCGTCATGTCCTGGATGTCTATGTCACAGTCCACTGTAAACTGGACCTCGGAAACCAGAGCGCTGTTGTATGCAATGATGATTAGGAACTTGATAACCTTGAGCACGGTCTGGCGGACGTACATGGCGTACAGAATATCACCTTCTTCCACGTGTAGCCGGAACTTCTTCACCTTCTCAAACAAGGCCTTTGCCTGCTCACCTTCCTTTTTGTCCAGAGCCCCTGCGGTAGATTTGTCAACCACAAACTTCTCAGGAATCGACTTGAGAGACTGGGAGTTGATCAGGCTGCCTTCAGGACCAGACTGGATGGCATTGGTCCTGTTCATGTTGCTCTTCCTGTTGTCTTTCTCTTCTGAGTCCTCCCCAGACACTTCAGAGAGTGCGCGCGTGGTCCATGGGGAGTCAAAGCACTTCCCCAGGATGGAGATGAAATGCTCTATCTTGGAACTGGAACCTGGGAATTTGAACCAAAAGTTGCTGCAGACCATGAAGACCAGGGTGTGGATGAGCACGAGGTACGGGAAGTACTTGGCATACCAGTGGAGGGCTCGCTCATAGCATATCTGGTTGATGAAGCTGTACTGCTGAAGGTCCAGATCCGTCTTCAGCCCTTTCATCTCCACGGTGGTGGGGTTGGTTGGAGAGGGCTTAGGTGGAGGCAGCGGGGTGGTACTGATGACCGCCTGAGAGACATTGGAAACAGAGGAGTGGTTCTGAGTAGGCTGCACTCTCTTCGGAAGGCAGATGATCTTGTCTTGCATGACCTGAAATACAGAAACAATAGCTTCAAATTATATTACCCAAAGAGCTTTTGTAATGTCATTAGTGCAGAGAAAGTAGCAATAACATCTAATAAGTGTCCATTTCCTCTGCCTGGAGAACATAACATTCATTCACTTCCAGCACCAAGATTTTATTCTTAGCTCATGTTATTATGGAAAGATGAAATATCTGATTTAGTTCACCACATCAAAGATTGACACAAAGCAGCGGTATTGTCAGGGCCTGGAACATGTCATGGCAATATATTTATGGAATATTCAGTATTTTTAGTCTTTGTGTTTCTTCTCTCGATGCTGCCAGGGAGAATCTTGACCTGAACTGGATGGAATTCAATGCCGTCTTTATTTGTGTAGGAGACGTGTGAGCACTGGAAGGAAGAGATGTGGACACAGGTCCAGGGTCCTTGTTTACCGTTTCCTTTACTCCCACATCAGGCGCTACATGCACAATTAACACCACTGGCTTTGACGTTCTCAGAAGCTTTCCCAAGTTCTTCAGAGACGAGAGAACACACAGAATGCCCATAGCAACACATTCATGAGCTAGTTTGCTGCCTTGGAGGACAATCTTCTGCTCTGCCAGGGCTTTGTTGAGACCCCTATGGTGTAAGAAAACCAAGCAGCTCCTAGGAGCACAATGCAGAAAAGAGTTGTAAATTGTCTGGGAGGGAGGAGTACTCCCAAAACCACAGTACAGAAGTCAGCCCACAAAGAGGCTCAGCAACCTGGAACATTTTGAACAATGAGCAACAGGTAGGAGGATGAGTAGCAACCAAAGAACACGGAGTAGTGACAACAAGGAATTAATAATGCAGGGAAAGTTGGTTTGGGGCTGGTGAGATGGTGGCTAAAGGCTCTGTCTGCTAAGCCTGGTGTCTGGACTTTGAACCAAGGAACCCACAAGGTGGAAGGAGAGAACTGACCTCCACACATGCGCACACAAATAAACAAAGGTAAACAAGAAGTCTGTATCTTTAAAGGCTAGAAACCCAGTGTGGTGATCCTGCAAGAGCAAGGACCTTGTGACAACAAAGGTCTTTGCATTGGTTACAAAGGAAGAAACTGAACTCATTGCAAAGTGGACCTGTGTAGCACAGTATGTGACTGAAGAGTGTGACAAGGGCACTGGAGCCCACCAGACAGACCCACAAAGCTGACAACCAGTTGAGGCTTACAAAGCATAGTAAAGCATGTGGTACCCAGATGTCGCTGCCACCAGTCCCTCTAGGTGTGGTAGTTATTAGTATGAGCATGAAGAACACTTGGTCTGGGGATGAAGATGATGATAATGATGATAGTGACAACAGCAACACAAGTATGTTATGTTCAACATGCAACTGTCCTTATTCTAGCATCACAGGATTAATTTTAATCATCACTTTTAAATTTTACTTTATTATTTTTTAAAGATTTAATTTTTATTTTACGTGCATTCATGTTTTGTCCACATTTGTGTCTTCGAAAGGGTATTGGCTCCCCAAGCTGGAGTTACAGACAGTTGTGAGCTGCCATATGGGTGCTGGGAATTGAACCCAGGTCCTCTGGAAGAGTAGCCAATGCTCTTAACCACTAAGCCATCTCTCCATCCCTAAATTTTATTAGACAGGGCATCATGTTGCACATGGGTATCATGCCTCCCATGTAGCTGAACTCTTCTTATTTCCATCTCGCAAACAATACAATTCTAGATGTGTATCACTGTGCCTGATTATCACCTTAATCTCAGAAGGCAGTGCACTTATGATTCTCAGTTTATAGTTCAAGAGACCAAGGCATTAAATTAAGTAACTTAAACAACATCATGTAGCCTACAACCTGTTCTTATTTTACATAACTTGGAGGTTTGAAAATGCCTTTATTGCTTTTATCCTTAAAAAAAAAAAAACTCTTTACAGCTGTGTTTTAAAAGATTTCACATATATATGTGCATGTGTATGTGTATTTGTGTATATGGGATTGCATACACACGTGCAGGCCACATGTGTTTGGGTGCAACAGAGGCCAGGAAAGAGCATCACATCTCCTGGAGCTGGAATGGGTGGATGATGGGCAGCCAACATGAGGCTGGGAAACAAATTTGGATCCTCGAGAAGAGTCCCACGACTCTTAGTCACAGAGCCATCTACTCACCAACCTTTTTTTTTTTTTTTGAAGTCAAATAAATTTTATTCAGTATAGTGGACCATTGGCACTGGAATGAGACAGAGGGCAGGAAGTATCCACATGATGTCTGAAGTACAAAATAGAAAAAGAAGAGGCTGAAAAGGGATCATCTCTGTTGGAAGAAAGAGCAGCATGTATTTTCTTTGGGGAAAACATGATGTCTGATAGACATGGCCAAAACAACAAAGTGATTTCTTTTCTCTCTTCTTTTTCCTTTGTTTACATTTTTTTTGTTTATCAAGACAGGTTTTCTCTGTGTATCTTTGGAGCCTATCCTGGCACTAGCTCTGGAGACTAGGCTGTTTACATTTTTTTATCTTAGATTAGTTGTTAACTTTTTCTTTTTACAACAAGCTTTCTTTTTTTAATTTTTTATATATTTGAATTACAAACAAGATTAAATTACATGATGATCCCAGTTCCCTTCTCCCTCCCTTCCTCCTCTACCAGCCCCCCCAATTAAAATCCTACCTGTCATATGTCCTTTCTTCTAATCTACACCTGACTCAGAATTTCTGCTTCCTCATGACCTCTGCATCCTTCCTTTTCTGTCCTTCTCACTCTCATAGCTTCCTCCCTCTCTTCCCATGTAAACAATTTGCTCAGGGGATGGTGACCCTTTCACCTTCACCAGGGGACAAAGTTTGTCTCTTTTAAGGTCTTCCTTGTTTACCAGTATCTCTGGCAGTGTGGATTGTAGGATGGTAATCCCTTACTCTATACTAAAATCCACATATGAGTGAGTACATATCATGTTTGTCTTTTTGTGATTGGGTTACCTCGCTCAGAATGGTTTCTTCGAGTTCCATCCATTTTCCTGCAAATTTCAAGATGCCATTGTTTTTTTTCTTTCTTTCTTTTTTCTGCTGAGTAGTACTCCATTGTGTAAATGTACCACATTTTCTCTATCCATTCTTCGGTTGACGGGCATCTAGGCTGCTTCCAGTTTCTGGCTATTACAAATAGTGCTGCTATGAACAT